CGATCCAAACCATTAAATCGATTCTGAATGCTATTAACTTCATAGTACGGACCTGGATTACGTCGAAATCGAATCGATAGCTCGAACGGAAGACAAATCAACGAAATCAACCGAACGGGTCAAATCGAGTCAAAATACGAAATCGACCAATCAATCCGGCGTGGGGGTTAATCTGCCGGCGATATCAACTCGGGGCAGCGGCCGGATGCGGCGACGGTGACGGTTGCCGGCAACAGTGGCGGAGCGGCAGTTCGACGGCGATGAGCAGCGACTGGCGGCGCTGCAATTGACGGCGGGGAAGGACGCCGGCAGTGGAGGCGACGTCCGGCAGAACGACGAGGTGAACCGTCGGCGGCGGCGCTGGGCAGCGGCAGCGCTGGGCAGCGACGGCGATTATGGTGGTCGCCGGTAGGGGAGGCGACGGACTTCCGGCAAAGGCGAAGCAGCGGCGTCCGGCGTTTGGCGACGTCCTCCGTTTGGCGTGGCGGCGCTGCACCCGTCGGCGGTGAGCGACGGCGGCTGGAGGCGAAGGAGGCAGCGGCTGGCTTCCGGCGACGGGCGACGACGGTCTGGCTTGCGCGACCGGCTGGGCGGCGACGATTGGCTGGGCGGCGGCTTCCGGCGGCGAGGTTGGCCGGGAAAGACGAAGAAGAAAGAAGAAGAAGGAGAAGAAGAAGGAGAAGAAGAAGGAAGAAGAAGAAGGAAGAAGAAGAAGGAGAAGGAAGAAGAAAAAGGAACGGACGAAGAATGATAAGGTTTGAGTGGTTTAGGTTTATTTAATGGTCCCATTCCAAAAAGGATTAGGCTTCGGACCCAAAATACCTGATTAAATGGTCATAACTTGAGTTCCATAACTCCGATTCGCGAACCGTCTGAACCGACGCGATCAAAAAAATATTTCCTACGAGATGACATAAAAGTTGGGCTTAAAATCCAAATTATAATTTTTACCCCTTATTGGGCCCAATTCGTAATCAATTGCTCTAACAATTTAATTAATTCTTTTGGGCCAGGTTTCGGGGCGTTACAACACAACCTAAGCCGCTATGAGATGCGTCACTATAGATGGTATACTCGATGCCAGGAGTAGGTTGAATCAAGACTGGTGCCTGGGTCAGGCACTCCTTCAGTTGATCAAAACTGCGCTCGCACGCTTCTGTCCACTCAAATTTGATGTCCTTACGCAGTAGCTTGTTCAATGGAGTAGCGATCGAAGCGAAGCCCTTAACAAATCGGCGATAGTAACCGGCTAACCCAAGGAAGCTCCTCACCTCACGAACATTCCGCGGAGTCTTCCAGTCCACTATGGCTGAAATCTTGCTGGGGTCTACCTGGATACCGGTGGCAGAGATAACGTGTCCTAAGAATGTCACCTCACTCAACCAGAATTCACACTTGGACAATTTTGCATACAGCTCGTGCTCTCTCAACACAATCAAAACCAATTGCAAATGTCTAGCATGCTCCTCCTGAGTCCGTGAATAAACCAAGATGTCATCGATGAACACTACTACGAACTGGTCCAAGTATGGTCGGAACACACTGTTCATAAGCTCCATGAACACTGCCGGGGCATTAGTCAATCCGAAAGGCATGACTGAGAACTCAAAATGCCCATAGCGTGTTCTAAAAGCAGTCTTCGGAATGTCTTCTCTCTTGACGGAAATCTGATGGTATTCAGAACGCAGATCGATCTTCGAGAATACTGTAGCCCCTCTGAGCTGGTCGAACAGGTCGTCGATGCGAGGCAACGGATAACGATTCTTCACTGTGGCTTTGTTCAACTGCCTGTAGTTGATGCAAAGTCTCATGGATCAATCCTTCTTTCGAACAAATAACACCGGTGCTCCCCATGGGGAAACGCTAGGTCGGATGAATCTGTAACGACCCAAAATCCGGCTTAGTAGTTAGCCGTTATTTTAATAAAAATAAATATAATATTTATTCACTCTAAAATATGAATTATTTGTAAAGTTGTCCGTTTTGTATGAAAATTAGGTTTTCGGGTAGATCTCGTAAAATGATGACCAACAGTATATAGTTTGTTAAATTTGGACATACGTGTAAAGCGTGGTGAGTAAAATAGACATTACAGCTCAATAAATAAATATAAGGATTTTATAATAAAATAATAAAATGAAAATATCCTAAACTAACCTATTCTTACCGTGATACGAAAATCCCCTTCCCACCCCTTTATATATTACGCACGCACAGCAGCAAAACAAAAAAAAAAGAAAAGGAAAGAAAAACGTAAAAGAGAGAGCAGCAAAGAAAGGGAACCTGCTACGGTAGAGAAGGGATCGCTGACCCGCTACCGCCGCCGCTCCAGCGCCGCTGCTTCAGTCGCCGGAAATAGAACTTCCGCTAGAACACCACTGTCTTCCGCCGCCGCCGTTCAACGTAGGAACTGACTGCTGCCACGAGCCGGAGGCCGCTGGGTAGCCGCTGCTTTGCTGCCGAGTTGGCCGATATCTTCTTGAGAATTTGATTTGTCTAATTCGTCAATAAATTGAGGTCAGAACTTGCATATCTAACGCTAGATTATGTATATAGATTTGAAATTCACGTTCGTAGTTTCGTATGATTGATTACGTGGTTTATTTGTTACAATTGAATTATGATTTAATTATATTATATGTTATTGTTGGAGTTGATTGAACAAGGATGACCAGGTACGTTTTCTTACTTTGAATTTGTGTGATTTGCATGACGGTAAGTGGAAGGTGTTACACCTGACACTAGGCCGCTAATTGAGTTGTATGATTTATTGTCTGATTAATGATATATTTATTGTTATGATTAAATATAATCCTGTTGGGTTATGGAAGTAAATAAGGAAGTGAGATTGTTGTTGGAATAAGCTTGAATTTTAGAGATGTTGTAAATAAAAGATTATGCTACCTAGGGGAACTCTAGGACTGCCTTAGTAAGATTATAAGCATAAATGTCAATAGATAGGATCAGCCCTGCGGATCTGATATCTGGCAGCTGCGGGTTAAAACGTACGTACGGGATCCAAGAACTGTCGTTCCGAAGGGGACAAGGGTACCACCCACCCAGCGGAGAACTCCTTCGTTGGTCATCAGGTTGTGTTGTGTCATAAGGTATTAAATAAGGTAGACTTGAGTCATGGCCGTAGGTAGTGACTCTAAACCCGAACAAAAGGTTGTAAATAAGGAGGTATGGACTTAGTCTGGTAATTATGTTATGAGCAATGAATAAAGAGGAAATAAGGTAATGATTTGTGACTGGTGAATTTATTTAATTACTGTTATGTGATATTATGTTGTATACTTGTGTGCGTGATATTGTATGAAGTTATGAGCTAGTGGGTTCGTCTGTGTGTGTAGTCGAAACGTTAGACCGTTCTCACTTAGCTTCAATGCTGAGCGTGCAGCCCTTTTTGCTATTTGCTACACGTAGGTAACATGAATGATGAATAAAGAACTATCCTGGAGGGCAGCGAGGGCAGAGAGATGGATGGATGCTGGCTGGAGGAGTTTATTATTTAATACTTAAGTTTAAATTAATTATGTTTTTAAGGGCAAGAAACCAAAGTTGTATTTTGATTAAATACTTAAAGACTTCCGCACCGTTTTGTGAACTCCAATGGATATTTAAATATCGTTTTGAATTAAATGTTTTTAAATTGTTTTGAAAATTATTGTGTCTGAATGCCAATCTAGTAGCAACCCGATCCGCTGGTCATTGTATTCGGGTCACGCGGGTTGGGGTGTTACATTTTGGTATCGGAGCAAGTGGTTTTAAAATCGGTCTTCGGACCCTTTCAAAAGAAGAATTTCAAAAAAAAAGAAGATTTTTTTTTAAAAAAAATGGTGATTTGTTTATAAGATATTTCAGCAGCAGCATCCGCATCTCTCACGACTCCTCTGCCCCAGGAAGGTATTTAAACTTGAGTACTTGTTTACTATATGTTAGAATTTATTTAGAAAAGTTTGACCTGTATAGAATGAGCGAAGCGTCGAATAACCAAAACGAGACCCAGAACATGGAACAAAATGTGGAGGCTCAACCGGACCCGATTATGCCTGCGTTCCTGACGCAATTTCTGCAGCAAATGGCGAACGCGCCAATGTTCCAGCCACCGCCTCCACCGCCTCCTAGGCAAATCACATTGAAAACGCTGAAGGACAATGGTGCTGAAGAGTTCCATGGGGATAGGATCTCTGATCCTCAGATTGCACTAGACTGGATTGAACAGACAGAAAGAGTGTTGAAGAATCTGAGTGTTCCAGAGGCGAGACGTCCTGAGCTTGCTTTCCAGCTCCTTCGTAAGGGAGCATACGAGTGGTGGAAGCGCGCAGACGAGAAAGCGCCTAAGCCTTGGACATGGGAGCATTTTGATTGGGCATTCAAGAAGGAGTATATACCGGCCCGCTTCAGAGAATAGAAACGTACGGAGTTTATGGAACTAAAGCAAGGAGACATGACTCTTCCCGAGCTTCGACAGAAGTTCGACCACCTAGCCCAGTTCGCGACTACGCTGGTAGCCACGCCGGCCGACCGTATTGAAGAATTTCGTAAGAGGCTACGTCCCGACATTTGACCATATGTATCCATCCTGACCACTACAGACTTCTCTAAGGCTTATGATCTAATGGCAAAAGCAGAAAAAGATGTGGATGATTACAAGGCCAGCCTGAAGGCCGAGGAAGGAGGACCCAGTACACGCCCAACTGTGAGTGTTACGCCGAGTGCGAAGAGGCCGTTAGGCGAGGCAAGTGAGGCATCTCATGCAAAGAAAAGCAAGTCCGTGCAGGTCCAACCAGCACCTGCCCAATCGGTGGCCTCCAGTGGTAGGTCAAAGCCGTCAAGGAATCCCACATGTGAACTTTGTGGGCGAAATCATCCCAGAGAGTGTTGGTTTGCCCAAGGCCTTTGTTTGGGCTGTGGTAAGCCGGGACACATTCGTAGAACCTGTCCTACAAAGCCTGGCGAACCTTTCCCAACCGCTCTAGTGAGAGGTCAAACCGCCACGCCACAGCTAACGCAAAGTCAACGCACGACTGCTGGAACAAATCAGCAGAGGAACCCAAATCAACCACAAGGACGAGCTCCAGCGCGTACTTATGCACTGATAGGGCACGCGGACCCTCAGGATAATGACGTTCATAATGGTACGCTTCATAACTTAACTTGATCACGATTAGTTGACTTATATGTGCTCCTTATGTGCATGTGTGTGTGTGAACTGTATGTGCATGTCTTTTGAGTAGGCATTAGACTAAGGAATTTCGAGGACAAAATTCTTTTAAGGGGGAGAGAAATGTAACGACCCAAAAACCGGCTTAGTAGTTAGCCGTTATTTTAATAAAAATAAATATAATATTTATTCACTCTAAAATATGAATTATTTGTAAAGTTGTCCGTTTTGTATGAAAATTAGGTTTTCGGGTAGATCTCGTAAAATGATGACCAACAGTATATAGTTTGTTAAATTTGGACATACGTGTAAAGCGTGGTGAGTAAAATAGACATTACAGCTCAATAAATAAATATAAGTACTTTATAATAAAATAATAAAATGAAAATATCCTAAACTAACCTATTCCTACCGTGATACGAAAATCCCCTTCCCACCCCTTTATATATTACGCACGCACAGCAGCAAAACAAAAAAAAAGAAAAGGAAAGAAAAACGTAAAAGAGAGAGCAGCAAAGAAAGGGAACCTGCTACGGTAGAGAAGGGATCGCTGACCCGCTACCGCCGCCGCTCCAGCGCCGCTGCTTCAGTCGCCGGAAATAGAACTTCCGCTAGAACACCACTGTCTGCCGCCGCCGCCGCCGTTCGCCGTAGGAACTGACTGCTGCCACGAGCCGGAGGCCGCTGGGTAGCCGTTGCTTTGCTGCCGAGTTGGCCGATATCTTCTTGAGAATTTGATTTGTCTAATTCGTCAATAAATTGAGGTCAGAACTTGCACATCTAACGCTAGATTATGTATATAGATTTGAAATTCACGTTCGTAGTTTCGTATGATTGATTACGTGGTTTATTTGTTACAATTGAATTATGATTTAATTAGATTATATGTTATTCTTGGAGTTGTTTGAACAAGGATGACCAGGTACGTTTTCTTACTTCGAATTTGTGTGATTTGCATGGCGGTAAGTGGAAGGTGTTACACCTGACACTAGGCCACTAATTGAGTTGTATGATTTATTGTCTGATTAATGATATATTTATTGTTATGATTAAATATAATCCTGTTGGGTTATGGAAGTAAATAAGGAAGTGAGATTGTTGTTGGAATAAGCTTGAATTATAGAGATGTTGTAAATAAATGATTATGCTACCTAGGGGAACTCTAGGACTGCCTTAGTAAGATTATAAGCATAAATGTCAATAGATAGGATCAGCCCTGCGGATCTGATATCTGGCAGCTGCGGGTTAAAACGTACGTACGGGATCCAAGAACTGTCGTTCCGAAGGGGACAAGGGTACCACCCACCCAGCGGAGAACTCCTTCGTTGGTCATCAGGTTGTGTTGTGTCATAAGGTATTAAATAAGGTAGACTTGAGTCATGGCCGTAGGTAGTGACTCTAAACCCGAACAAAAGGTTGTAAATAAGGAGGTATGGACTTAGTCTGGTAATTATGTTATGAGCAATGAATAAAGAGGAAATAAGGTAATGATTTGTGACTGGTGAATTTATTTAATTACTGTTATGTGATATTATGTTGTATACTTGTGTGCGTGATATTGTATGAAGTTATGAGCTAGTGGGTTCGTCTGTGTGCGTAGTCGAAACGTTAGACCGTTCTCACTTAGCTTCAATGCTGAGTGTGCATCCCTTTTTCCTATTTGCTACACGTAGGTAACATGAATGATGAATAAAGAACTATCCTGGAGGGCAGCGAGGGCAGAGAGATGGATGGATGCTGGCTGGAGGAGTTTATTATTTAATACTTAAGTTTAAATTAATTATGTTTTTAAGGGCAAGAACCCAAAGTTGTATTTTGATTAAATACTTAAAGACTTCCGCACCGTTTTGTGAACTCCGATGGATATTTAAATATCGTTTTGAATTAAATGTTTTTAAATTGTTTTGAAAATTATTGTGTCTGAATGCCAATCTAGTAGCAACCCGATCCGCTAGTCATTGTATTCGGGTCACGCGGGTTGGGGTGTGACAGAATCCCTTTTCCAGTAGCTCTTGCAACTGAGCCTTCAACTCCTTCATCTCGGCAGGTGCTATACGATACGGTGTAGCAGATATGGATTCCGTACCCGGAATGAGATTGATCGAGAACTCTACCTCTCTCGGCGGAGGCAAACCAGGTAGGTCTTCGGGAAAGACATCGGGGAAGTCGCAAACTGTACGGATGTCCTGTTGACGTGGCAATTCTTTTCGCATATCCTGAACGTGACACAGGAACATCTCGCACTTCTTGCGAATCAAGCGCCTCGCGCTCAAGGACGATATGAACTCGGGAGTCTTGGGGAACACTTCCCTGGAGAGAGATACGTCGCTACCGTCCTCGGCTCTCAGCCGTACGGTCCGACAACTGTAGTCGACCACTGCTCTATGCTCGGTGAGCCAATCCATACCAAGGATAACGTCAAACTCCTTGTGTGGTAGCTCTATCAAATCTGCAGGGAATTGCTTCCCTTGCACAGACAACGGACATCTATGATAAACGTGATGAAGACGCATGCTATGTCCTAGCGGATTCGATACAATGGTAGGTATCTCAAGGTCACTCCTCACAATCGCAGAATTAGCAGGCATGCCAACACAGATATAGGAGAGCGTAGAACCCGGATCGATCAAGGCATGCATAACCGAATCAAATAGTACGAACGTACCCAAGATAACATCGGGGCTAGGATCTGTGCGCCCATGCATGGCGTAGGTACGCGCTGGTGCCCGGCCTGACTGGTGCGGACGTGCTCTCTGCTGATTATTTGCGGCCGTAGACTACTGACTCCGTGCTGGATGTGATGCGGCAGGCTGATCCGGAGCTCTAGGTAAAACAGGCTCGCTGCTAGGGTTTGTCGGGCAATGCCTCCTGAAATGCCCTGGCTGACCACAACCCAAACATAAGCCTTGGGCGAGCCAACACTCGCCCGGGTGATGCCTACCACACTGTACACATTGCGGGTGGCTCCTCGTTCTGTTCGAGTTGCTAGCGGC